GCAACATTATGCTACTTGCAAATCGCAGTGATGATGGGCACTACCTCTATGCCAAAGTCATTGGGATCCACCACGTCAACATCGTGCGCGTCGCCAATGTGTACGAAAGTCACCGATTCGAATTTCTTCTTGTTCGATGGTATGAATCAGTGCAAATTCACATGTGGGACTCACATACTTTGGGCCGAGTTCGCTTCCGGCCGCTGGCACACCAGAACGTGTTCGGTTTTGTTGACCCAGGGATGGTTCTTAGGGCGTGTCATATCATCCCGGCCTTTTCTCAAGGCCAGCGCAATCCAGGTGAATCCGGGATTTCTCCTCTTGCGGGTGACAAGCACGATTGGCATGAATACTATGTTAATAGGTGAGCGACCTGAAATAACTTGATGCGGATGAGCATTAATAATAGGACTACACTAGCTTCGTTGATCGCGATACACTCATGCGCTTTCATTATGGCCTTGGGGTAGGTCATGTTTATTCTCATGAAGCAGGAGTCGTGGAGACGACAGTACAGACAGAACATGAACCTTCAGAAAGTGGAGGCCTCATGGAGCGCACACACTGCCAAATTCCCGGTGACGATGAACAGGACGAAGACGAAGACGACGATGAAGATTATGTGGGCGCGGAGGAGCATGGCTTTTTCGATCAGGCAGTCAATGCCAGCACTGAATCACTCATGCAGGCACTAGACGAGATGTTTCTGGCCGGTCACACATTCGATCATGAAAATCAATAAATATAATCAATTGTTCGCTACTGCATCGCCCTTATTCGCCCCCGCTTTTTCATCACATGTGCCGATTCCTGGCTGGGCTGGGCTACTCATGTTCGCTTCTGCCTGGCACTGCTGTGCCGCCTAGCAAGCCCCCTGGCTTCTTCCTGGCATATTTCCAATACATGGTTTGCCGTGACTGGCCATCACTGCTTTGGCCTACCCATGACTAAACCCCTGGCACGCATGTCGATGGCTGATATATTACAGCATCATTGCCTAGCGGTTGAATGTAATGTGGGCAGACAAGCGCATGTTTGAACAATTTTTAAGGTCTTTTTAGTGTTGTCTGATTCTTCATCACTCCAAACTTACCGGGATGATGCAACTGTCAACTGCGCTACCAACTGTCCATGTTAACAACACTCAAAACTATGTTTTTGTTCAAGCAAGGAACGAAGTTATGCGACTTGTTCCGCTTCGGGTGAGTGCATCAGTGGCTGACTTTATTCGCATCACTCATGATTTCTTACTGCAGATTGATGAGGTTCACTATCAGCCATCAGTCGTCACTCTAATTGACCCGTGTTTTCAGCCCTTTCAAGGCCTTTCAGGTCAATTCTCTTTCCTTGGCTATGTCACTCATGCTTATCATCTTTCGCCACTCTATGTGAGTCTGTCTGTAATTCTCCAAGTCAAATTTTTCATATAATTGTACTTGTTCACAGTGGCCTGAAGAATGTCGTGGTCTTGCTGACGAGCTCCTACGACAAGTGGGATTGTTGGGCATCATAGATGACATTAGTAGATACGCAATCTATGAGGTTATTGAGGTAAGAGATCTTTTATGCAGTCGAGTTCACTTCTCATTAGACGAACACATTAGCATGGTGGCGCCTCAATTCTCGAGAATACTAGGACACCTTATTGTGGGGCCAGCACACAAATGAAACTTGTGCCCATGTGGATGGTGAGTTTCCCTTCGAATCCCCCCACATCGTCGGACTCAGTGCGCGTCATACATAGCTTCACGAGTTACACGACTTCCAGTTCTCCCCGGCAATGTTCCCATATGGATTCCCTCCTCCTGTCAAGCTTTCGGAGGAGTTATCTTGGCAGCACTTTGATCAAGTTACTCGGCAGTCGCTCCCTGGACCATCGTTCCATGACACGTCCCTCCACCTGCCCTTAGATTTTGATTATGATCCCTCCGTGTTTGACGTAACCACAGCGTCGACTTTTTCTGGCGTACTCACACCTGCTTTGGAGGAGGAGGGTGATGGCCTCTCGAATGCTGTGATCCTCCCTGCTAATCATCCTTTCGATGGGACACAACTTCCTCACAAAGACCTCCATTGGAGACAAAACTCACGAGAGGATCCACTGAGCAATGGCCAGAGGACAATGCTCAAAAGTTTGATGATAGACTCACCTTGGGCACGCCCATATAAGTTGGCAAGATACCTTTATGTAGGGTGTTTATTGGTCGGCATACCTGCCAACCCCTTTAATATGCCCGAGCCGGTGTCGAGGCAGTTGATTACAACCAGTTTTTTGAAAGCTCTGTTTTTCACCGGTCAAACATACGAATCATTGTGTAATGAGAAATGTAAGTGTCCGCCTCCAATTCTCAACACCACTAACTAACATTGTGATTAGTGAGGGTCACGGACAAAGCTGGGAGGGAGACCCTCGTGGATTGGTCATATTTGCGCAATAGAGTACGTTCGTTTGTCGGTTTACCTTCAGTCACCATTAAACGTTTTCCACAGTTCCCGGACTTATACATAGAATTTACTTCTGAGCTACGTAAGGTCGCCAGAGGTAGCATGAATGTTACGGATGGATTCGTGACCCACGAAACCCACCGGAAACAGAAGATCCTCGACTTGATTAGTTTGTTCGACTCAGGGGACCTAAACCTGGTAAGAACCTGCAAATTCGTATCAAATAGAAACTTGAGACTTTGTCTATCAGATACAACGAGCCCTCACGGAGCTTATTGTCACGCAGGCCTTCCGGGAAGTGCTCTGGGCTTCGTTACTCCGACCTATCGCCGAATTAGCTGAAGGAAAGGTTAGATTGGCAGATCTATACCCTGACGCTGTACAATCTTGGACAGGTTATCTACAAAAAGGTGTTGTCGGTGTACTCAGCACCCTCGTGAGCTTTTACTTATTTGCTCGTCGGACGTCGATGACCAAATTTGTGCTTATGTATCAGATGTTTCAAGGGTTAACTCATCCCCCACAAAGCAACTCTCACTTGAAGGCTCCTGCGCTGTTTCCTATCATCATGACTGCCCTCGATAACATGTACAAACATCCAGGCGACTTCAGCGTCTTCTTCAAGGAAGCCCATGAGCTTCTTTTTCTCAAGTCAGTCTCCTTTAACATTGTAATCTTACTCATCCGTCTCATCCGTTTAGGGAGGAAAACGTCTTAGTTTTGGAGCCTAAGCATGGAATTCCCAAAGTAATGTCAGACGGCCAGGAAGACCCTTGAAGACGTCAGGCCCATAGAAGTCAAGTCCGTCGTAGATTTCGAAGTCCCCAACGCAGAATTCGCCTTTCCGGTTACTGGCATGGCGCAGATACACATTTCCTACTTCACACCGTCGACTATCTCACTTTGATCAACTTGAATATTGTACTCGTCATGATCTGAACGGTGTGCCTTCTGAATATTTTTGTACACGTGTATCTCAGAAATGAATTACCCTTTTACTCATTAGTAAAACGATCTCTGGTGTCGTACGAAAGCTCGACCGCCTCAAGTTCACATTCGCAAATTAGCGCCCACAAAGTTGTTTGTCATTGTTTTTGGTGTGCGACATACTCGCTGATTAGATCGATCAAAAATTGTTGTCAAACGCCCAATAAGGCATATTCACGGTAAGCCCATCAAGCCAAATCTCCTCCGATCGAATCAATCAACGCCTTCGTTAGAACATGTCCCGCGTTGTATACAGCCCAGAGAACGCAAGAAATGACGGAATCGTAAGCATCTCTCGTGTAATTTTGACGGCAAAGTCTCACATTTAACAGTCACAATTGGAGTTTTTGGCAGACTTGGTATGCATTTGTGTACCGCGTCACTGCGTACCTGACTCTGATACCCGAGACCGCCACTCCGCGAACCCCGCTGTGGGATCATATGAGGCAATTGATGCGCCGTTTCACCGGCGGCTGCGCTCGCGTACTGCAGCACATAAGATCGGCCGTGCAGAGGGTGAGTTCTTTGATTTACTTCGTAACTATCTATAGTCTCAAGTTCCTCTAAGATGTTTTAGAGTTCCAGAGATGAAGTACAGGCTCGGACTGCAACTATGACCATCACTCCATGATCTACTATACCCATCTCACCGCTGCAGGAATGTATCATGATCTCCCATTTCACCAATCACGAATACTGTATACTATAATAGCGCATAGCATACAGTGCAGGTACTACATAGCCTGATATTGACCTCCTGTTGTATCGTCTTACTCAAATCTTCCTAAAATCTTGCTGGTCATATTGAACTGAAACGTCCTACTAGTAGTACTTACATTTTTGCACGTTGATTCTGAATCACAAAAGATCTGAAGCGATAACCCATGTGTATTGATGTTTTGAAATATATTTCAAGCTTGAACCGATTGAAATATTGACACTTCCAAAAAAGGTAACGATATCCGCACTTCGACCATTTTAAAAGTAACCTTCAAAGTAAAACCGTTCGTCCAGATATAATGAGGCCTCGCAAGGCCCGCTGAAGCATCTCTCGGAGGCGTGACGTTGCTGGAAAGCGAACATCCCATGAAAGTCCCTGGAATGCCCACTGCGATCAAGAACTTTATTTTACGGTACGTCAAGAGCAAAGCTGATTAGTGGTGCTTAGGTCGATTGACTCATCTGTACTTGAAAGCAGAGCGGGAGAGGCAGCATGGGGTACTTGAAGGATGGACCGTACATCAGTGCGAAAGAGGCCGTTGCAATTTACACAGCAACTGTTCACGGGCTTGAGAGCCGCAAATTTGGTTCTATACCATTCCCGTAAGCAAGCGAGGCATGGTTTGCACATTTTGAACTTACCGTTTTCTCTAGCCCTCTGTTGTTCGGCGCCTGAGCCTTATAATCGGCGCTCTGGCCGCATGCGTCGTGCGCAGGACATACCTCTGGTGAAGAACTGGTATCTGGAGCATTGTCCTCCTAACCAGCCAGTCAAAGTTCGCGTATCGTACCAGAAATTGCTCAAGTGTTTCGTCCTCAACGAACTCAAGAGTTGACCTGAGAAGGCAATGACTAAAAAGAATCTCTTTTGGCAGTTAAAGGCGACGAAGTTCTTTCAGATGACAAAACTTGACTGGGTGGAAGCCGGTTTGCAGGTGTGCAGACAAGGGTATAACATGCTTAATCTCCTTATCCACAGAAAGGTAAGCCTTCTTAGAGACCGCCGGGGTACATTGAAGCTAATTTTTTTTCAGAACTTGAACTACTTGCATCTCGACTATAACATGAACTTGAAGCCAGTGAAGACGCTTACTACGAAGGAGCGCAAAAAGTCTCGCTTCGGAAACACCTTCCACTTATGTCGCGAGATTCTGCGCCTTACAAAGCTTGTTGTTGATGCTCATGTTCAGTTCCGCCTTGGCAATGTCGATGCTTTCCAGCTTGCAGACGCACTGCAGTATATCTTTGCGCACATTGGGGCATTGACTGGTATGTACCGGTACAAGTACAAGGTTTGCATAATCTCGGTTATAGGCGAAATTTATTTTGTTAATTTTATTCATCCAGCTCATGAGACAAGTTCGCATGACAAAAGATCTCAAGCACTTGATCTACTACCGCTTTAATACTGGCCCTGTTGGCAAGGGTCCTGGAAATGGCTTCTGGGCTCCTGGCTGGCGTGTCTGGCTCTTCTTCATGCGAGGCATTGTACCGTTACTCGAGCGCTGGCTTGGTAACCTCCTCGCGCGTCAGTTCGAGGGACGCAACAGCAAGGGCATTGCGAAGACTGTGACAAAGCAACGTGTCGAGTCTCACTATGACCTCGAGTTACGTGCGGCTGTCATGCATGACATTCTCGACATGATGCCTGAGTCTATTAAACAAAACAAGTCGAAGACGATTTTGCAGCATCTCTCGGAGGCGTGGCATTGCCGGAAAGCGAACATTCCATGGAAAGTCCCTGGAATGCCCACTGCATTGAGAACATCATTCTGCAGTACATCAAGAGCAAAGCTGATTGGTGGTGCTTGGTTGCACATTATAATCGGGAGCGTATCCGTCGAGGTGCTACAGTTGATAAGGCAGTAGTGAAGAAAAATCTGGGTCGGCTGACACGCCTGTACTTGAAAGCAGAGCAGGAAAGGCAGCATGGGTACTTGAAGGATGGGCCGTACATCAGTGCGGAGGAGGCCGTTGCAATTTACACAGCGACTGTTCACTGGCTTGAGAGCCGTAAATTTGCTCCTATACCATTCCCGTAAGCAAGTGAGGCATGGTTTGCACATTTTAAACTTACTGTTTGCT